CTTATACTTCTGAAGTTTATAAATCTGAAATGACTTTACTGGGCTAAAAAGGTGCCGCATGCTGTGAGGGAAAATCTTGCCTTGTTTTCCCAGCTTCTAGAGGAGTGAGTTCTTTGGTTCATGGCCCTCCTCTCCATCTTTAAAGCTAGCCATGCACCACTCTCACATCCTTCTCTGACACCGACTCTCCTACACATTACAACGATCCATGTTGTTACATTGGGCACACCCAGATAATCCAAAATAATCCCCTTATTTTAAGGTAATCTGATTAGCAACTTTAATTCCATCTAGCGCCTTGATTCTCCCTTGTTATATAATATAAGACAATAGCAGGCTCTGGGGATTAGAATGTGGATACCTTCAGGAGACCCATTATTCTGTCTACCACAAATATTATTAGCACACTTTATTTTTTCTACCTTTAGAACTGGCTCAACATTGTACATATAACATTTGTTGTTACTGATGTATATTTTTTTTATTGTTGAGAGACTAGAAAAGAAATATTTAGTTGAAGTCAACTTGGGTTCAGATATGAAGAGGCTGAAACATTCTGGCATATCATTTGATGATTGCCAGTGGAGTTCCTTCATAGTTATTTTTAACTAGAGTCCAAAGTACAAGGAGATTGTGCCCATCTAGCCCTGAGCACAGTCCACCCACCATGGACCCGAACATGATTTTCTCTTAAGTCACTCTGAGTCACCTAAGATGCTTTGAGCTTAACTTTGAAAAAAACCACTTTACGTTTTTCAATCTTTAATTATTTCTGGAGACCTGTTCCAACCACTGATAAGGCCAATCTGCTGAAACTAGATTCACTAATTATGAATTAACCATTTATTTCTCATTACTAATGCATGCTCTTTCCCCTTTATTTTTTTTTTAAATTTAATAAGCTTTATTGTTCAGATTATTACAATTGTTCCTCTTCCCCCCCCCCCATAGCTCCCCTCCACCAGGTTCTTACCCCACCCTCTGTCCTTACCTCCCTCCCCTCTGTCCTCATCCATAGCTGTACGCTTTTTGTCCAGTCTCTTCCCGCACCCCCACTCCCCTTTTCCCCGAGAATCGTCAGTTCACTCACCTTCCATACCTCTGATTCTATTATATTCATCAGTTAATATTGTTCATCAGATTTTTTAAAAATTTCCTTGGTTTTTAGATTCACTTGTTGATAGTTACGTATTTGTTGTTCATAATTTTTATCTTTATTTACTTTCTCTTCTGAAAGAACCCCCTTCAGCAATTCATATAATTCTGGTTTGGTGGAGATGAACTTCTTTAGCTTTTAAGTTTTTTTTTTACATTGTTTATTTTCCTAAAACTATCTGGTTTTACATATATATATATATATATATATATATATATATATATATATATATTAGAGACTTGATGTATGAAATTCAGTTCGTGCAAGAGTAAGCCTTCACTGCCCCAGCTGTGTTGGCCCTCACAGCTATGGCTTCGTCCAGAAGCTCGCCCAGACAGTTGTTCCACTGGTTGGCCGTTCCACTATTCAGCTTTTGGTTGATTTGCATATTATACTTTTATTATTATAAATTTCAAAAAAATGTATATGTAGACTTTGAACAATATAAAGGCAGTGTTTATTAAAATACATTTCATTTTTCAAAATTGAGCTATCAGCTGTTAAAATGTGTATACTTTTTTGGGAATACCCGGTATATTTAGGCATAAAAGTAGATCAATAAAGGCAGCTAATATGGGGCTTCTCTGTATTGGTACATGCCTGTTTGCCAATGGGCCTATTTCTTGAATTGGAGGGATGAGGGTAGACTTTTGTGTGTATGAGTGTGTGTGTGTACTGAGGGAATATTTGTTGACTAACATACTTTATTTTAAACTGAGTTTATGAAATGCAAGCAAGCTCTTTTTGCTTTATCTTACCTCTTATCTGATTGTCAAAATAAATGACTTTGGGAGCAAAATATTTAGAAGGCTAAACACCAAAATGTTACCAGAAAGAGATGAGATTATAGGTGGCTTCTATTTTCTCATTTTTGTTTATCTGTGTGTCTGATTTTTTCTAGCATGAAATGTTAATTCAATTATTTCTCATTTCCTAAACAAAGAACAATGAAATAATCTTGCGTTGATTTCCTCAGTCTTTGTAAAAGGGAATTAGTAATCCTATCTCTGGCTTAGATTCAGTCTGTCCAACAGTCTGGAAAGATAACATCTTAAGTAGAATTCAGATGACATTTCTAAGAAATGAAACATTTAAAATTCATTTATAACTAAGCCATTAAAAACAGTTTGTACTATCCTGGGCCACAGGTGGGAGGTGTAGTAACAAATGTTCATGGGTGATTTTTTTTTTAAACTGACCATGACTAAAAAAAACCATTTTATTATCCATCCCAGCCTACTCAGGGGAAACCGTAGTCAGAGAGCTTTGAAAATGAGAACATTGTGTGCTTACTTGTACCTGTTCAGGATTGCATAAAGACTCTCTGAATGGATACAGATAAACAGATAATCAATCACACTTAGGAATCTATTGAAGTAGGCAGGCAATATTGCTTCCAAGATGTAATAATGCCGTCTGTGGAAATCAGAAATATGAATTCTCTCAATACATGCTGCTCTCATATAGGTTGCTTTCTGAGTGGCTAGTAGGCTGTAAGCAGGTGGATAGGGGGAAGATGTTCAGCCAAGTTCATGACCAATAAATTTTGTGAACAAAATTTAAAAAACAATATTATGTATTTGATTATTTTGTCTTCAGTCTCCCAACTATTGACCCAAAGAACGTAGCCAGATGGGCAGATTAGAACAATGGCTAAGGCCTTTACTTTTATTTTTTATTTTTTATTTTTTATTTTAAAAAAAATATATTTTATTGATTTTGTACAGAGAGGAAGGGAGAGAGATAGAGAGTTAGAAACATCGATGAGAGAGAGTCATCGATCAGCTGCCTCTTGCACACCCCCTACCGGGGATATGCCTACAACCAAGGTACATGCCCTTGACCGGAATCGAACCCGGGACCTTTTAGTCCCCAAGCCGACGCTCTATCCATTGAGCCAAACCAGTTTCGGCTAAGGCCTTTACTTTTAGATTCATGCAGATCTCAGTTGATCCTAGCTCATTCTTTAAACATTTTTTATATGTTTTTATTGATTTTAGAGAGGGAGAGGGAGAGAGAGAAACCTCATCAGCTGCCCCCTACTGGAGATAGAGCCCCAAACCTGGCCATGTGCCCTGACTGAGAATTGAACCTGTGACCTTTTGATGCATGGTACGACTCAACCAGCTGAGCCACACCGGCCAGGGTGATCCTAGCTCATTCTTTGCATTGGGCACATCACCAGTTCCTTAAATTGTGGTTTTCCAATTTGAAAAAGAGTGGTATTAACTTCTACTTCATAGTGCTCTCATGAGGACTTAAGTAAGTAATATAAACATAAAAATATATAATACATTTGTCATCTAGTGGTCATACATGAAGAGGTCATGAAGATGAGAAATGAGCTGTAACCAAGTAGGATACTGGTAGAGCTAGTGCATATCTGGTGGGGCTACTGGTCAAGACTTATTCCTCATCTCGGCAAATCAGCAGCATTTCACATTCCCTTCTCCTTGACAAACTTAATTCAGTCTAGTTACTGGGAAAACAATAGTTTATGCACAATACTCATTTCTAATCCTAACCCTAACCCCATCTCTATGTTGTGATATGAGTTTAATCATCAACAAATATTTATACAGCCTCCACAGATTCTATTTTCTTCTAGGTACTGTCACAGAAAGATATTTGGATGGGCCCTAATTACTATAAATTCAAGGTTCTGGTGTCTAGAAAGTGTAAAATGCGGTAAATAGAATTCTTTAAGCTATGTTTTAAATAACTTTATTGCTGTTTTGGGGTACTTTAGCAATAATTTGTTCATTATTTTGCAATCATTCATTTTGTAATTATGTACTAAGGAGTTTTCTGTTATGCGTGAAGAACTCCAAATTGAACAAAACCATTGGCCTGCCTTGGGGGGCTCATTGATTATCACAAATAAACAAATAATTGGAACATGACATGGTGTGACCACCAACAAAAAATGTACAAGATACAGTGGTAGCACAAAGAAGGGAATTTGCAGGGAATCTTCCACAGTTATGGAGATGATTAAACTTGATTTTGAAGGAAAATTAGAAGCTCAATAGGACCAGTTAGCTGGATGGGATAGGTGAACATAATGTAATATGTGAAGAGGGATTTAAACGTGCAAAGAAACAGGTTACGTAAGTTGCAAGTTGAATAGGGGCACACACACTAATTTGGCAGAAACCTAAGTGGTTCCATAAAATGCTCTGGGAGAGGTGAGCAGGGACCACCAGTTCATGACTTGAACACTGTGCTAAAGAGATGTGATCTCCTAAACGGCTTCAGTTGTAGTATTGAGTTGTACTGAATAGGCAAAACTTTATGGGGAAATTCTGAGATAATTTACCTAGCCAAAGCTAAACGCAACCTTTCTCCTAGAAGATTTTTTGGAAGTTTCATACATTAAAAATTATTACTGTATGTGCTTGTGCATCTACCTTGATTAGCTAATGATTTTTATTAATCTCTTAAACTGGATTACTTTTGTGAGGGAAAGGTGGGTGTAGCTAGATGGGACATTGGATTAATAGGAATAAAGTGGGAATGTCCCACACGAACCAGACATAGGATCAACTAACTTTGACCCAAATGGACTGATGACCCGGGTGAAGAAATCTTTACTCCTGCTCTCTGGGAGCTCACATCCTGAGGAAGGAGAAGTGGGTGTCATGTGATGGAACGTTCTGTGATTGAGAATTCTATATTTGGGAATGTAGGTGGAGGTGGACTTGGGTTTCCTGTTAATCCATGTGGGTTAAAACGAGAGCTCAGAAAGTTGATAGCACCCAAAATCACTGGCTCATCTGGAAAGACCCTGAGATTACTGAACAAAAAGGTCCTGCGGCCTGTTTCTCTTGGGGAGTCTGTAATCATGAAGCCGTTTCTGATTCTCATTATTCTGCTCTTTGAAGTACCCACAGGTAACTTGTCCAAATGTACCATGAAATCCTAGGAGATGTTCCTACCCATGGGAGTGGAGTCAGGGCCTTTGAAATTACTGGTGTCTTGCCAATTAATTAAAAGTACCCACTGTTTTGGGTGCCTAACTTGAGTCTGTGCTTAGAAGAGAGCATCTGGCCAGGTAACAGGAGATCCAGGCCATACTCTCAGAATCCTCTCCGGAGGTGGGAATGAGTTCATCATCTAGAATTACCTTTATCATGTACAAAACTTTTTCACCCAGGAGCCTGGCTATCTCTTTTTAAATTCAAATTCATGTTTGGCCTATACCACAGCAGCAAAGAGAACAGTACAAGCTTTGGAGTCATGTAGATATGAGTTAAAATGTGTCTTCATCATTGACTATTGTATTCATTGAGCTAATACTCACTTTGAACCTAGTTTTCTCACTTGTTAAATGAGTAGAATGACTCCATTTTATGATAATCGTATTTCATGTTCTTACAAATGTGAAGCATCAAGTTCTCCCTTGCTGCTGTAGAAAGGCATATGGTCTTTTTGTGGCTCTAAAAATACTTTTTGTATCTTTGTTCTCCACCTTTATTCCATGGGTTTGTCCAAAGTTGTGTACAAGGGCAAACAAAGATCTGGGAACAGGAGACTTAGGACCTCAATGCAATGCTCTGAATGGGTGCTAATCTGGATTTCTAGAACACATGTATTGAGTTTGATCCCTGGGCCACACATTTATCTGAGATGAAAAGAAGAGGCCATAGAAACCAAGGGAAGGCATTTTCAATGGCATTTATTGCTAAGGCCCATGTGGTCTTGGCAGAGGGCGATTCCTACTGCCCACATCAATGAGTGTGACACCTAATTATATTGTTAACACAAAAAGTCCCGGTTTTGATACTCTTTGAAAAGTTAATATGGCTCTGAATTGTGCCGTGGTGACAAGCTGGTACTCTCTGGAGACACTGGATTGGGATTGGCTCTGATTTAGGAAGACAGAGTAAGATTTGCTAAAGGCCTAGGCGTGGGACTAGCCTCACTCAAGAGCCATAAATTGAGTTCTCTCTTCTCTTTTGTCACATAACTTCTAATGTTCTCAGAGACAATTGAGTATTGGCCTGGATCGGGGTTTTGGATGTCCTTAATTTGGAATGATTTTCAAGGAGGAGGCTCTGAGATTTCTTGTATCAGTATGAGGTTCACTTTGGGACCATGGGAGGCCATAGCTTGTGGAGAACCACATACCTCTTCCACTTTACCTCAGGATCTAATCTGGGTTTAATGTTGTTTCCTGTGCACAGATGCCGCACGACCCCAAAAATGCTTTGGTAATATAGCAGGCTACTGCAGGAAGAAATGCGGAGTGGGAGAAATACAAGAACAATCATGTCTAAACAGGAAAGTTTGTTGTATTAATGAAGCTGAAAACAAAAAATACCAGAGAGAGCAAGAGTTAATTCTATCTTCACTGCAGTCTGATGAGAAGCTGGACTATGCCATTTTACCCACCATCACAATTTTCACAATCCAACTATAAATCAAGCGCTTGTTCCCCTGGTCTCTCCTCTTTCTAAAATAAAAAATGCCACCTAATACAATAGGCTGGGGCAAGAGATTTTTACTTCTTTCTGTAAACTTGATTCTCCACATAATAAAGTCCTATGCTTTTCCCTGGATTTATTTATTTATTTATTTATTTATTTATTTATTTATTTATTATTTTTTAAAAATATAAATTTTATTGATTTTCCACAGAGAGGAAGGAAGAGGGACAGAGAACTAGAAACGTTGATGAGAGAGAAATATCGACCAGCTGCCTCCTGCACATCCCTCCGCCGGGGATGTGCCTGCAACCAATGCACATGCCCTTGACCGGAATCGAACCTGGGACCTTTCAGTCCACAGACCGACGCTCTACCACTGAGCCAAACCGGTTTCGGCAACTTGTTGTTTGTTGATTTGTTGATGTTGGCCATTCTGACAGGTGTGAGATGGTACCCTTGGAGGATGTCTGACTGCCTGCTTAGGCCTGCTCCTAAGTGGTCAGCTGGACATCCTTAGTGCTGTGGCTCCCATTCCTACTGCTGGGCTCACCAGCTGTGAGCTTGGCTTTTGGCTGAGCAGCGCTACCCCTGTGGGAATGCACTGACCACCAGGGACAGCTCCTCCATTGAGCGTCTACTCCCTGGTGGTCAGAGCACATCATAGCAACCAGTCATTCCACTGTTGGGTCAATTTGCATATTAGGGTTTTATTATATAGGATTACTTTTTAAGTAATTAAAATTTTTTTTTTCAATTTTAGCAGACATACAATAGTATATTAGTTTCAGGTATACAACATAATGGTTAGATATTTATCTAACTTACGACATGATTACCCCAATAAATCTAGTACCCATTTGATACCATACATAGGTTCCCCTTCACTTTTTTCACCCACTCCTACAACTCCCTCCCCTATGGAAACCATTCCTACCTAATTAGAAGATAGAATTAACCAAATTTGTTGATTACCTGAAAGTAGAGGATGGGAGAGAGAGGACTTAAGTGTTCCTCTTAGGTTTATGTTTTGGGACACAGGTTGAATGATTGTTTATGTCAAGAAATGGGGGGATTCTCAAGGGTGTGCATGCTAGTACAGTGCCTGTCATCTTTATAGTCCCCTTGCTGCTGTAACTGCCCTGTCCATACCCTCTCCTCTGGGACGCAGCATTAGGCTATACCCTGCACAAGGGTGGGCAACTGACTCAATGCAGCTTATCCAAAGGCTGTCCTAATAGTGGCCGGATGTAGAAAATGTTACTCAGCTGAGACCATCAAGGTGGTTCCTTTTGAAATTTGGACTAGGAGTTAGAGTAAACTGCTGGTTGAGGATAGTGAGGGAACACAGCATTCACTCTGGTAAAAGTAAAATACTTTGGGTCAAAATTGAGGATAGCTGCTTCTAAAATTTATATTTGTACTAAACAAGGTCACAGATCGGCACCCGGAGAAAAACACTTTGGTCCCATATAGAATCCCTTTTATTGCATTGCTTCACCAGCATTCATGGTTGTGGCTTTGTTCTGATTGCACTTTCAGGTTTATTGTGAGGAGACACTGCACTACAACCTATAGTGCTTGCTTTTTGAGAGGAAAAAAAGGAGACCCTTATCTTAGGTCACTGTTTGAGGAAAAAAGCCTATATTTTCTCAGGGCACTGTATCTGTTCAAAGACCTACCTCAGCTTGGATCACCCCATATTCCCAAACATAGAGAAGACAGTCTCCTTTCCAACAGAGAGTGGGCTAGGTGAGGGGACAGAGTGAATAGGGGCATGAAGTGACAGCAAGGTCAGTGAATCTGGGAAGATGGATTATATTACCTTGGATGACTATATTGAAGGAAGAATCAGCATCATTCACTTAAGTAAAGGAAGATATATTTATAATTTCAGTGGTGATACTATATACATCAAATATAGTATCCTAATGCCAGCTTTGTGTTTTGTCAGGATCTCGCTGAGCATTCATTTATCAACTCTGTGTACCATAACTATTAAAAATGTACCCTGGTTCAATCCATGGCTCCCAGAATTCATTCAGGGCATTTAAATCAGCAGCTGGAATTGTGATTATGAAGCAAGATAAGGGAGTTTGTGTGTGTGTGTGTATATAATATATTAGAAGCCTGATGCATGAAATTCATACAAGAGTAGGCCTTCCTTCCCCTGGCTGCTGGCACTGGCTTCTCTCTGGCACCTGGCACCTGGTCTTCCCTCTGGCCCTGACTTTGTCCGGAAGGACGTCCAGAATGACATCTTGAAGAACATCCAGTCTAATTAGAATATTACTCTTTTATTATTATAGATACTAGAGGCCTGGTGCATGAATTCGTGCATGGGTGGGGCTCCTTTGGGTGGCCTGCAGGAAAAGGGCTGAAATCCGCAGCCCAGTGCCGCCTGCAGCTCCTACCTGCTGCTCTCATGCATCCCAGCCCCATTGGGCCTGCTGTAGGCTTGCGCCCAATCAGTCCTGATCAAGAGAGGCTTGTGCCACTGCAGCAGCACTCACCAGCTATGAGCCCTGTATCTGGCGCCTTCCCAAGGGGAGTAGCCTGCAGGATCAGGCTGAAACTGGCTCTCCGACATCCCCTGAGGGGTCCCAGATTAGGAGAGGATGCTGGTCAGGCAGAGGGACCCCACTGGTGCAAGATTGGGGCCAGTGCACGTCATAGCGACTGGTCAACCAGTCGACTATCTGCCCCGTGGTGGTCAGTGCACATCATAGTGAGCAGTTGAACAACCTTAACATATCATCAGCATATTACGCTTTGATTGGTTGAACACACTGACCTCCAGGGGGCAGACACTCAATACAGGAACTGCCATGACACACACTGGTCATTTAAAAAGAAATGGCACCACGGACCTGGTGCCGACAAACCAACACTCGTCTTCCCCCAAGTGGGACACAGGCCCTGGAGTGATACCCAACCTAATTGCAGCCAATGCTTCCAAGCCCCCATGGTGCAAAATGCGGCCCACAGCCCAGCCCAGCTCGGAAATGGTCACTGTGGGCGTTGGGTAATGATGTCATTTAGCAATGCCTGGCTTCCTCTCCCTTGGAGTTTCTTCAGTCTGGGAACATGACTTGTTTTATAGCCAGGTGTAAATATTTTACAGTTTAACCAAATGTCTGTAAAGCATTTTCACATTCCTCATCTCATTTGATCCTCCAGAAGTCCTGGACTAGGTAGATAGGCTACTTGTAGAATCTCATTTTCTTTTCATTAGCCTGAAAATGGAGATTTAGAAGTTTAGAAACTTGACCCGACTGAAAAGAAGTAAGAAATGGTGGAACTTGAAAATGACTTCAGGTTTTCTCACTGTGCAGAATATAGCAAACACTGCTGCAGTTAAATATTTTACTTCTTTTTCTCCCTGCATGATCTACAATAATAATCTGCTTCATGTTGATATTTACTGCTGTGTTGCTGACAATTACTTGAAAGAGAAGTTGGAGTGCTTCACTGGGCTGGAAAAAATTTAGCTAAATCAGAAAGCAGGTCTAATTAAGCAAGTTTATAGATAAAGCTCTCGCTGGTGCCAATCACATGCGTGTGTTTCAATCTGTCATTGTCGATTGTGGATTTGGTTGACATTTCTATTATAGAGGAAAGGTGAATAGCAATATTAAAATATTTCTTCTAGTTAATTTCCTTTCAATATGCATGAATCCGTGCATGGGGACACTTCACTGAGTGACATTACCATCACATCACTCAGTTTCTCATGTCGCTGTAGGCTGAAACCTGGGCATCACTCTCATTCCCACCACATCTGATGAATAACCAACTATTATAAATTATAGCTGCCAAATAATTCTCTAATCTACCCACTTTATTCCCTCACTCTGGTCCAAACAACCTCTCACCTGGCCAATTGTAATAACCATTTAATCTCTCTTTTCATATCTACTCCCAGTTTCAATGCATTTTTTTTGCGTTCAATATAGAGTGATTTAAAAGTGCAGGCAATCACATTATGTCCCAAGTCTGGAGGGGATGTTGGGTATCAAGCCATAGAAAAACAGTGAAGGAATGAAAAGTGACCTCAGAAGATCCTGAGATGAAGGATAGGGATCTGAGGTGGGAGTGTGTATCACTGAATATGTGCACTGTCTCCATAGTTTTGTCCTTTCCACAGTGTCCTAGAGTTGGAATCATACAGAATGTAACCTTTTTTCATTGGCTTCTTTCACTTAGTGATATGCATTTACTGTTCCTTCCTGTCTTTTCATGACCTGACAACTCATTTCTCTTTAGTACTGAATAAATATTCCATTGTCTGAAAGTATCACAGCTTATTTATCTATTCACTTACTGCAGGGCATCTCGGTTTCTTCTAGGTCTTGGTAATTCTGAATAAAACTGCTATAAATACTGGTGTGCAGGTTTTGTGTAGACATTCAACTCACTTGGGTAAACACCAAGGACTGCAATTGCTGGATTGTATAGTAAAAGTGTGTTAAGTTTTGTAAGAAACTGCCAAACTATCTTTCAAAGTGGCATGTCCCATCTTTTAATGAATGAGAGTTTTACTCCACATCCTTGCCAGCATTGTGTGTTGTCATTGTTTTGGATTTTGGGCCTAATACTGCAATTTGGACCAATTCCTAGGTCCTTTGCATTTTCTCTAAACTCCAAAGGGCCCCAAGCACCAAAAGAATGCTGTTATTAGTGGTTAACACACACAACAACAACAACAGAGGCCTGGATACATGGAGGAGACTGACAGCTGTCAGAGGAGTAGGAAGGGGGTGACGGGGTGAAAGAAGGTGAAGGGATTAGCCAAAGAACATATATGCATAATCTACAGATATAGGCAACAGTGTGGTGGTGGCCAGAGGGAAGGGGTAGCAGGGGACAGGTGAAGGTGGGCAAAGAGGCAGGGATGGGGACATCTGTAATAGTGCCAACAATAAAAATAAAGTTAAAAAAAATAAACAACAACAAAGAAACTCCTCCATCTTGGAATTATATATTTATGACTGCCTCCACCTTATATAGTGAGTGCCACCATAGTGGGAACCTATTCATCTCTCCCCAGTTCACTGATTTTACAAAGGAACTAAAGAAATTAGACTTTCCATAGTTCAACTTTGGTTGTTCTATTCTTAAATCAAAGTGCACATATATCCTTCTGAATTGTCCTATCTTTTCTAATTTCCTTCCATTTGTTGATTTCAGTCTGTTTAGTCAAATCACTTTCTTTACTATCAGTCACCTGTTGATATCTGACACAGTTGACAAGGTACCACTTTTAACTCACTGGTGAATTTCCCCTGCATACTTGGCTTCACCAGTCTCTCTCCAGAATTACATGTCTACTTTCCTGAGCTTCTTGTTTCAATTTACCACATAGATTTTTTTTTGTAGTGTACTGGTTATATCCCCCTTTCTTTTTCTTTTTTTTTTCTTTTTTCATATTTTATTGATTTTTTTTGCCCCCCTCCCTCCCTCACACATATCCCCTCCCTCCCCAGAGTTTTATGTCCATTGGTTGTACTTATATGCATGTATACAAGTCCTTGGGTTGACTTATTATCTCCCCCAGACCCTCCTCCCCTCCCCGCTGTAATTTGACAATCTGCTTATTGCTTTACTGTCTCTATATCTATCTTTTGGTTCATCAGTTTATAATGATCTTTATTAACCACAAATGAGTGGGGTCATGTGGTGTTTCTCTTTCATTGATTGGCTTATTTCACTCAGCATGATGTTCTCCAATTCCATCCAGGTTGCTGCAAATGATAAGAATTCCTTCTTTTTTATGGCAGCATAGTATTCCATTGTGTAGATGTACCATAGTTTTTGGATCCAATCATTGGCTGACAGGCACCTAGGCTGTTTCCAGATTCTAGCTATTGTAGATTGTGCTGCTATGAACATAGGGGTACATATATCCTTTCTGATTAGTGTTTCTAGTTTCTTGGGATATATTCCTAGAAGTGGGATTACTGGGTCAAATGGGAGTTCCATTTTCAGTTTTTTGAGGAAACTCCACACTGTTCTCCACAGTGGCTGCACCAGTCTGCATTCCCACCAGCAGTGCACGAGGGTTCCTTTTTCTCCGCAACCTCGCCAACACTTGTCGTTTGTTGATTTGTTGATGTTGGCCATTCTGACAGGTGTGAGATGGTACCGCATTGTTGTTTTGATTTGCATCTCTTGGATAATTAGTGACTTTGAACATGTTTTCATGTGCCTTTTGGCCTTCCTTCTGTCTTCTTTTGTAAATATTCTATTTAGGTCCATTGCCCATTTTTTAATTGGATCATTCATCTTCCTTTTATTTAGTTGTATCAGCTGTCTGTAGATGTTGGAGATTAAACCTTTATCAGTGGTGTTATTTGCAAATATGTTCTCCCACACCGTGGGCTTTCTTGTTGTTTTGTTGATGGTTTCTTTTGCTGTGAAAAAACTTTTTATTTTGAATCGAGAACCCAGATATCAACCCAAATCACTATGTTCAATTAATATTTGACAAAGGAGGCACGAATATACAATAGAGTCAAGACAGTTTCTTCAATAAATGGTGTTGGGAAAATTGGGCAGACACATGCAAAAGATTGAAACTAGATCACCAACTTACACCATACACAAAAATAAACTCAAAATGGATACAGGACTTAAACATCAGACAGGAAACCATAAAAATACTAGAAGCATCCACAGGCAGCAAAATCTCAGACGTATGCCAAAAGAACTTCTTCACTGATACTGCCCCTAGGGCAATGGAAGCTAAAGAGAAAATAAACAAATGGGACTACATCAAAATATATCCCCCTTTCAAGGGGATATTCTGAGTTCTTATCACTTGGTATACTGAGTGTCCAATTACTGGTTAAAGAAGAAATAAGTCAGAAAACTGGCAATGAACTTTATTAGAATCTGCTTTAAGATCTACTGAGAATTAAAGAACCAGGTAGGAAAAGATGTGGATTACTTCACCTTAGTTTATTAGAATAGGTTAAGAAATAAATGAATGGAGAATTGTACTTGACTTACGGAGAATTTGTCTTGTGGCTTATATAATTTCTTTCATATTCATTATAATCTTGAGGTAAAGTTATTGCAAAAGTCACTGGCTTTGGACGAGTTGGCTTTGGTATTCTTTTACGTACTTCCAGTTCCATGATATTGAGGCAACAATATCTCCCATTTTCACATAGTACTTCACGTATTTCAGTTACTTTGCATATTTTTCTGCAGTTTCCTTGTATATATTGATTCCAGCATTTCTTAAGTTGTTCAGTTACTGTGCACATAAAAAACAATTGATCAAGGTCAGTGTTTGAGATTGAAAGGCAACTTTGGACATGGAAAGTATAGAGAAGATTTGTAGGGATTAGGTGTATGAGAGATTCACAAGGTAGATGCCCGTCATATCCCACAGAAGATTCCCCAAGAAGGCAAACCTCAGTGTTTATATCTATCTGATTACTCATATTTAGTTCCTCCAAGGTTTTGGGCTCCCAGTCAACATCTGAGGGACTCCATCAAGAGCATCAGGTCATATATAGGAAAACAAAGAAGTTGGTTCCTTGATTTCAGGGCATGGCATTATTCTCTATCAGGGTACCACAGCAAATCTTCCTCTGTTTGAATGTTCCCAGGTCACACATTTTTTAAAATAACTGCTCCACCTTTGTTACCCAGAGTATAATAATTCTTTACTGTGTATTTATTTCTGGGTTAAATTATGTTCTTGGGTTTATGCTCACTGTCATGGTCAAGAATGATTTTCTTATCCAGTCAGGTTATTTTCCCCCCTAAATAATTTTCCTTCCTCCCCTGTTAATTCTTAGCATTGTCCATTTCTTTCTTCTTTCTTTCCTTCCTTATTTCTTTCTTTCTTTAATCTTTTTTTTTTTTTTTTTTTTTTTTTTTTTTTTTTTTTTAGCATTGTCCATTTTTGTCAATGCCTATCTTCCTTTGGCTTCTAAGTTATTACAATAATCTTGGATTTGTTTTATGACTTTTCATTCTTCCTTTACCTCCAGTTGCAAGAATTCCTACAATATTCAGTCTCAACCTTTGCTCACCTTGAGATATATTTTTTCCTTTAGTTATCCTAAATACTTTCTATGATCTAAGGGTTAGGAAGTTCAAATATTGGTTTCTGGGCTGGTACAACCTTTTAGAATAGGCCCCAGAGGAAGATTGAGAAGAAAGATTCCTCCAACCTCAGGTTTTAGAACCCCTTTGATTGTTAGGAATTTAGGGACCCAGGGACATGCCATCACCATTACTATAATAAGAGGCAAATGTAATAGATATGGTTTTGAAAGAGAAATGTCAAGTTCTTAGTATGTGCCAACCCCTATGCTAGGTATTTCACAAATGTTATATCATTTAATAAGGTCCACATGAGTCCAGTGTCATTATCTCCACCAGTGAGAGTCTTCACCATTTATCCAAAACTGACAGACCAGAAGTGGACATCAAAGGCCTGTTTCTTAAACCTGACTCCAAAGTTTATGAATATTCACCCTCTGTAGTAAAATAGACTAATATATATTTCCACTCTTTCCCCACTATTCACACTCATACAATGGAAGACAATATGATTGGATGTCAGAGTAAAAACTATATCCAAAGAAATAAGTGCATCCTTAGATATTGGGTGCATTACTTTCTACAAGAGACTTTCCCAGAGGAAATCATGGCTTCTTTTCAACTCTGAATACTCCTTTTTAAGAACAGTACCATGGTAGAAGGCCTCAGGAAGAGGGAATCTAATGACATTGGATAGACTTCAGACATCCCTAGGGGACCTATTTCCTAATTCTATGAATTATAAAATTATCTTGGGTTCTTAGAAATACTCTATCCCATTGTTGATTTGTGTGAGCCCCTGGAAAACTCTAGATTACCTGTGGGCTTCTGGGAAAGCAGAATTACAATGATCAGGAAGAGCTTCATAGTTAGGCTTCCCAAGGGAGGTGGCAGCCAAAGCTCTTGGTCCAGTGAGTTGCACACCATGTCACCTTCCTCAGAGACTTGGATTCTTATGCACTGAACCAGAATAGATAGTATGGTACGAAATGTGTCCCCAAACTTCCCATCTGTGGATTTTGCACCATGTGGGCAGGCACCGGAAATTTGAGGTCACCCACTTTACCCCTACATGGAATCAGATGCAGCATGTTCTATTTCATCATCCCTAATGCCATTCTGTGGGCTGTGGACTGCTGGGGAGAAGAATCTGTGCTTTCTCTACTCTGACTGTCTGCCAGATAGACCAAGGTAGACATGTACTCACTTCTAAGAATGAATGAGTTAATATAAATAATGAAGCCTATTCCATTTATTGCATTCACCTAAGTCTAGGATCCCAGGGTGTTGTGTCTATCCAAATGGAAGCCAACTTTTATTTCTACATCCTAGATTAATTTAATTATGCACAGACAAGCAATATATAATGGAGGAATAATCATATGATTATAATAAAAATTTCATTTAGGAACAGCAAAAAGGGGAGAAAAGTCAGAGATAACAACATAAAGCATCGTCCTGATGGATAAGAACAGCAAAGTTTTTTGTTTTTCCTGACATTGTGGAATGGCAATTGTCAACCTTTTGCATCTCATGGCACACATAAATTAATTACTAAAATTATTTGTCCCACCAAAAAGTACATTATATTTTTTTGCCAATATGACACAAAAAAATAGTTATAATTTTGATCCATTCACACCCAGATGGCTATTGTTATGTTGGCTCTTGTCTTTTTTTCTTTTTTTCTTTTTCTTTTTTTTTTTTTTTTTTTTTTTTTTTTTTTTTTTTTTTACAATCTAAGGGACAAGAGGTCAGTGCCTCTGACTAAATAGTCAGGTGTTGCATATCTAAAAAATTCTTATTGCATATCTAAAAAATTGTGTGCCTGCTGCAGTTGAAAATTACTAGTGTAGAGAATTCTTTTGTATTTTTTCTGTTCTGATCTCTATGAAGGTTTCCCTTCTTCTCAGTGGCCATCCCTTGGAGGGGACTAGGGTGTAGGGATTCTTCTTGGAAATTTACTTTAGCAACATGTATCCTGTTAGTGCAGGTTTAGGAAACTGTATGAATTATTTTGTTACCCAGACTCTGATTTCTATGGCATTATAACTCTTTAGAAAGATCAGTAGACTTTATTTTGAATTGTTCTTAGTCATTTTAATGTCTAAGACCCATCCAGAAATTCTTTTGAATCATTTGTTCATCAGTTTATGTTGATCATTATATTCCATACTAGAGGCCCAGTGCATGAAATTCGTGCATGGGGTGTGTGTCCCTCAGCCCAGCCTGTACCCTCTTCAATCTGGGATCTCTCTCACAATCCAGGACTGCTGGCTTCCAACTGTTCACCTGCCTGCCTTCTGATTGCCCCTAACTGCTTCTGCCTGCCAGCCTGATCACCCACTCCCCTGATTGCCCCTAGCTGCCTTCTCCTGCAGGCCTGGTGTCATCTCCCCCAACTTCCCTCCTCTACCGGCCTAGTCACCCCTAACTGCCCTCCTCTGTGGGCTTGATTGGCCCCAACTGCCCTCCCTTGCAGGCCTAGTCCCTCCCAACTTCCCTCCCCTGCTGGCCATCTTGTGGTGGCCATCTTGTGTCCACATGAGGGCAACTATCTTTGGCCAGCTGGGGGCAGCCATCATGTGAGTTGAAGTGATGGTTAATTTGCATATTACTCTTTTATTAGATAGGATATGAGTGAGATCATGTGATATTTATTTTTCTCTGACTGGCTTATTTCATTTAGCATAATGCTCTCCAGTTCCATCCATGCTGTTGCAAATGGTAAGAATTCTTTTTTTTTTTTTTTTTTTTTTTTTTTTTACAGAAGCATAGTATTCCATCATGTAGATGTACTACAGTTTTTTAATACATTCATCTGCTGATGGGCACCTAGGCTGTTTCCAAATCTAGTTATGTTGAATTGTGTTGCTATGAATATATGGGTGTATATATTTTTTCTGATTGTTGTTTCTAGTTTCTTGGGATATATTCCTAGAAGTGGGATCACTGGGTTAAATGGGAATTCCATTTTTAGTTTTTTGTGGAAACTCTGTACTAGCTTCCAGAGTGGCTGCACCAGTCTGCATTCCCACCAGCAGTGCACGAGGGTTCCTTTTTCTCCGAATCCTCTCCAGCAGCTGTCGTTGGTTAAATTGTTGATGATAGCCATTCTGACAGGTGTGAGATGGTACCGCATTGTCATTTTGATTTGCATCTTTCAGATGATTAGTGACTTGAGCATGTTTTCATGTGCCTTTTGGCCTTCTATATATCCACTTTCAAAAAGTATCTATTTAGGTAAGTTGCCCATTTTTGATTGGATTTTTTTATCTTCCTTTTGTTAAGTTGTATAAGTTCCCTATAAATTTTGGAGCTTAAACCCTTATCAGATGTACCATTGGCAAATATGTTCTCCCATGCAGTGGGCTCTCTTGTTGTTTTGTTGATGGTTTCTTTTGCTGTGCAGAATCTTTTTAATTTGATGTAGTCCCATTTGCTTATTTTCTCCTTTATTTCTCTTGCTCCAGGACATGTGTCACAAACATATTGCTAAGGAGATGTCTGAAATTTTGTTGCCTATGGATTCTTCTAAGATTTTTATGGTTTCCCATCTTACGTTTAAGTACTTGATCCATTTTGAGTTTATTCTTGTGTATGGTGTAAGTTGTTGGTCTAGTTTCATTTTTTGCACGTATCTCTCCAATTTTCCCAATGCCATTTATTGAAGAGACTGTCTGTAATCCATTGTATGTTCTTGCCTCCTTTGTCAAATATTAATTGAGTGTAATGATCAATTTCTATACTTTCTGTTCTGTTCCATTGATCTTGTGCCAGTACCAGGCTGTTTTGATTACAATGGCTTTGCAGTATAATTTGATGTCTGGTGTTGTGATCCCTCCTACTTTGTTCTTCTTTCTCAAGATTGCTGCAGTTTCCAGGGTCTTTTTTGGTGCCATATAAAGTTTTGGATTATTCGTCCTAAAGCTGTGAAATGTGCCATTGGTGTTTTAATAGGGATTTCATTGAATTTATAGGTTGTTTTGGGTAGTAGGGACATTTGAATGATATTAATTCTTCCAATCCATGAACACCATACATTCTTCCATTTGTTTGTAACTTCCTCTGTTTCTTTTTTCAATGTCCTGTAGTTTTCTTAAACACAGGTCTTTTACCTCCTTGGTTAAGTTTATTCCTAGGTATCTTATCTTTTTTTGGTTGTTGTTGCAATAGTAAATGGGATTTTTATTTTTTAGTTTTTAGTTTTTCTTCCTGACAGTTCATTATTGGTGTATAAAAATGCCATTAATTTCTGGATATTAATTTTGTATCCTGCTAATTTGATGAATTCATTTATTAAATCTGATAATTTAGGTAAGAAGCTTCTCAACATTGATTTGAGCAATGATTTTTTGGACATAACACCAAAAGCACAAGCAACAAAAGGAAAAATCAGCAAGTGGGCCTACATGAAGCTAAAAGGCTCCAGCACAACAAAAGAAACAGTCAACTAAATAAAAGGCAATCTACAGAATGGAAGAAGATGTGCAAACCATATATCAGATAAGGGATTAAAGCCAACATATATACATAAACATACAACTTAATAATATAAAAAAACCTGCAATTCAAATTTAAAAATGGACAGAGGAACTAAAATAGACATTTAAACAGAAAATGACAGATGAAAACTACTCATCAGTAATTACTTTAAATGTAAATGGTAAAATTCTCTAATAAGTTAAATAATAGATATTGACAAAATTGATTAAAAAAAAAATTCCCAAATGTTTCAACTATATGTTGCTTAAGAAAGACTTGCTTTAGTTCCAAAGAAAGAAAGAGGTGAAAAGTACAAAGATGGAAAAATATATTCCATATAAATAGTAAACAAAAGAGAGCTGGTGTGTTTGAACTAAGAATGACAAAATAAGTAAAAAACTGTGATGAGGCAGAGTTGGACATTATCTATGAATAAAAGAGGTAATTCGTCACAAAGTTATAAAAAGTGCAAATCAAAATCTAAATGAGATAACACTTTACACCCACTAGTGTGGTTAAAATTAAAGACAAAGGAAAATAGCAAATGTTGGTGAAGATGTGGAGAAATTGAAACGAGCCCTCATGCATTGTTGATTGGACTATACCATCATGTAGCCATTATTAAAAACACTTTGGCACTTTTTCAGAAAGTTAAACAGAATTACTATATGACCCAGCAATTACACTGGTATATACTTAAAATTTAGGTATGTGCCTAAAAAAAATTTAAAACAGGATGCTAGTGCGTGAATGTGCTTAGAACAGAAATTTATATAATAATAACAAAAAGTGGAAATAACCCAAGTTTCCAGCAATGGAAGAATGGATAAGCAAAATGTTATATATTCATACAATGGAATATTAGTCAGACATAAAAATAAGTGAAGTTCTGATTACTTGCTCCAACATGAATAAATCTTGAAAATACTCTGCTAACAAAATAAGCCAGATGCAAGGACAAATATTATATGATTTTACTGATATAAAATTTCTAGGATAGCGAATTCAGAAAGACTGAAAATATATGAAAGGTTTCCAAGACCTGAGGTAAGTGGAAAATGGAGTTATTCTATCCTATATAATAAAAGGCTAATATGCAAATTGTCCCCTTGGGAGTTGGACTGACCAGGAGTTCAACCGCTTGCTATGATGTGCAATGACCACGAGGGGATGGGGCAGAATGAAGGAAGATTGGCCAAAAGCTGGGGGAAGGAAGGCCCTGATCAGCCCTGATCGCTGGCCAGCCTAGGGACCCTACCTGTACACGAAATGTGTGCACTGTGCCTCTAGTTGCTTAATGATTGGAGTTTCTGTTTGGGGTGATGAAAGGGGATTAGATCAGATAGTGGTAATACCCTGTTTTCCCGAAAATAAGACAGTGT